AGCTAGGTCTTACGTCCGTCACATAATGTTGCCTTAAAATAATAACAATCACTAAGTATACAAATAAATAGCACAATATTCTATTATTATTAAATTATTAAAAGATAATTTTATTTAGATATCCCAAATTATTTTCGATAACGCTTACAGTTACCCCAGGGCATTTACGCCTCGGAAGAAGTAGATATAATGTTTGCGTTCAATTGTTTTACTTAATTGTGGACGTAATATGATATGTAACTATAATGTGATGCGTAAAAATACAAAAGTATTCTTCGTCTTATCGTATGATGGCATACACTTATAACGCTTGTCATCGTGGTGAAATTATTTGTCAATCAGCGTAAGGTCCGTTGCGCCAGACGATCGAGTATGTAACCAGAAATAGGGACGAAATAAGGGCCATCCATCCCTGGCAACTCATCAGTCAAGTGGTACTGATATCACTTGTAACATCAACTCTCGTTTGCGCTGAAATCACAAATTAGAAAGCTGAAATAGTACAGCGCCAACAACTGACCTGTGTGTACGTCCTCGTATATTCCAAAAATATTCTGTATTTATTGTAATAAAGATAATCTCTAACAATGGGGGCTGTTCCATTCGGTGGTGTGGGAAAGCACAGCAAAACATCTAATTACAAAGCAAACGGAATCACATTTCATCGGTAATTAGATATTTGAATTATGTAATTTTTCAATTTTCATCCATTATAGCAAAGCTCAAGTTAAAGTGGTCGGTTTGAAGAAGACACCCGTCAATTGTTTCGAATTCGGCCTGGCCAATGGAAGCCCAATTGTCACCGTATTGATATGGCACATATGGCAGAATAGTTTTCAAAGAAATTAAATGACATTTCGTCTTTATTTCTGGTTATATACTCGATGCGCCAGACCTACAAAAAAGGAAGTAGGTACGTCGTGCGGGGAGGCTCCTTTCGTGCACCCCAAATACAAAAGTGCAATGTATACGTTAACTAAAGTCCAAAAATGTAAAGGAAAAATAAAAATGCGAAAATGTATAAAATTATATACTTAATACAAACAATCATTATGAAACCAAGTTTTATTGTTTTATTATGTACACACTTAAAATTAATTAATTAATTACATAATAATGTATGTAACGGGTACGTGTAGTTGATTATCAACGTCGTTTGACGTTTGAGGATTACGAATTTACATTAGAATAACATCTTATTATTTGTCCAACGTAACTAAAAGGCCGTAACCGCTTAACTCGAATGTCAAAACTGTAATTAATTAACAAAAACTGACTCTAGAAAATGTTTGACATTGCAGGTCATGGCTGGGTTGCACGTGTTTAGTGACGAAGTATTTAATTGACTAAATTTTAACTTAATGTAAATTTTTTACAACGTCACTTTACAGCTGTTAAGTAATTTTCGATTTAGTTAGGCTAAAAGGTTCAGATGACAAAAATGTAACGCACGTTATCAAATCGCGCGTTCAGAAAAAATAATTCAAAACGTTCTTTACCGCGTTACTACGTGTTTAGAATTATAGACACTAAGGCTGATTACACATGGTGGCGGTGGCGTTTTTAGCTGCTGCGGCGCCGCAAGAGTTACGGTGTCATATCGCAGCGCCGGATGCAAATGCAGCCCATACGGCGTCATTACATTATTAGAGAATTGAGGCAACCCTCGCCGCCGCCGTATCAAATAACCCCGCCGCGCCGCCGCGATGTGTGTATGAAAGTGTGTATACAAATGTAACAGCGATTACAACCGCGGCGTCGCAGCGTCAGTGGTGCCGCTGTTGTTACGCTGCCGTGTGTAAATATCCTGACAGTGTAGGTACCTGCGTTCAGATGATCACGCGATTTCGTCGCGACTAGGCGTGTTAGACACTTTGCTTTTGCACCGCGCGTTATCTTTCATTTAAAGCCTAAACGTTCCAAAACGCGACGACGCGCGACAGATGTGCGTCCATCTGAACCCAGCCTTAGTGCCATTTTCCATTAAAAGAATAGACGCGAGCGACCGCAGCCATAGCGGCTAGGTTTCAAAATTGTTGAAGCCGGTAATTGTCTTTGTAGGAAAATATAAATGGTATATACCATAGTTTCCCAAAGTGGTCCCTACCCAGTGGGCGCTGAAGTGTCCTAGGGGGGCGGTAGTGGCCTCGGTGATGCTGTCCAGAGGATACGCATGGTGGGCGTTGAAATTGTTTTTATCTTGCCTAAATGGGCGGTGAGCCAAAAACTTTGGGGACCTATGGTATATACGATAAGATTTCTAAATTAATACATAAACTGTCGAAATGAAACTATTTTTTCGAATCTAAATTGCCTAGGTAGACGAGTCACCTGTGGAACCTGTATTTACCGATTTCGATCCGAAAAAATAGTTTAATTTCCTATGAGTAACAATCGCAACAACCAACTCGATAAAAAGATAAAAGAAAGATTTGAACTGAAGGGGTGGGTGCCTTTGAGCGATAATCAGATACCTACACAATGTTGTATCCCGAAATCCGTGACTGGCGTATGTCTTACCACAGTTTATATCGTCTCTCGCTTCTACCTTTAACACTATTTATTACGAAATTTACAAACAATTTTTTAGTTAAGACATTTTCTACCTTTACCTCGATGAATTAAAGGCAAACATTTTATTTTTTTATTCTTTCTTCTATGTACATATACTATTTCCATATTTAATGCCATGTAAATATTCTTGTATATGTATATCAAGTAAAAAAAACAAATTTTCCCGATAACGATGCCGATATGTACATATACGTCAAATACCTACTGTCAAAATTAAAGCAACAATACTTTTTTGTACTGCAATGTTCCCCCTATAATATTATGTACGTCCAACAGTCGTCACGTGCGACCAACAAGAAGGACCCAATTACACTGGAATAATTGCTACGTAAGAAATTAATTCTCTAGCTCTAAACATTAACGATAGTTTTCCACCGACGAGTCGCGACGAGACGAGGCGATGCGAGAATAGAAATCTCGCCGGCTTATTTCCACCAAAAATTGCCATTATAGCTCGCGCGAGTCATCGCGATCTTGCGCTGTGATTGTGGATAGTGAAGATTCAGTACTGTTCAATTCATCTAGCGATAAATAAGAAGCATCATATGAAACCATCTTTTTTAAATCGTAAATCATACGACCTACAATCTCGCGATTAATATCTATTAATAATAGCTATTGCGAGCTCGCGAGCAATCGTGTTTCCGTGGCAGAGTATAATAGTCTATGTAGGCAGCGATACGGTTAATATTACATCAACAAATATTTCAATTCTCGCCTCGCCCATCTTCGTCAATCCAGATCATTTCCACCGAAGATAGTTTGGGCGAGAATTGAAATTTTGTCATACAAATTTCAATCCTCGTCTCGGCTCACCGGTGGGAAACCACTTTAATATCTGCGATGATAATATAAGTATACAAAAATAGATTTTTGTAATTTTGTAACATTTCGAGAACAGTCTTCCGCTACACTTACTAAAATTCAGTTGCGTAAATTCCGACACTTTGCTTTTTTGCTACAGTCAAGAGCACATCATGCTTGCATCTTAGGACTTCTTATCGTACGAGGTATACTATGGTTGAATTTAATTCTAAAGTGTGAAGATTGACGTACTCTTGACCCTGTAGTTCACATAGCTGCGTAATTTTTTTTTAAATAAAATAATAGGACGTTTTATATACCTAAGGGAAGAGCAGTTTTTTGCAAACTTGCTGATGTATATTTGCCAAACGATTACAATAGCCTTGACGATCGTGCAAAACACGACGGTTTTCAATAAATTTGTGAAAGAAACGTGCATTTTATTTCTGTTTTCACAATATTTAATTTTCATAAGTTACAATGTATATTTGCTTCTAAATTTCTGCAGCGATACGTTTTGCAGCTGGCTAACTTCGTTATAATGCCTGCCAAATTCATTCCATAACATTTACCAAACTTCTATTATTGCCACTCTTACTTATCTGTACTACAAAACATAGAAAGAATGTTCCAAAACATATTTTACTGGCACTTTTCGAACAATATTTTTTGCTGTATTTCCAATTTATAGTACAAAACTTTTGTCTGGTTCAGGAACATAAATGTTTAAGTCTTGAACATTAGTGAACACAATCAAATAAATGCGATAATACATTATTAATCTTATTATTCACTATTTATATTAAAACTTCTTGAATACTTCAGTCTCCACATTTCAGTCGATTAAAAGTGACTTGTTCATGCTGTAATGATAACACAAAGAGCATTACAACCATCCAAATAAGACAAATATAAAGAAATCTTGAACAAATTAAACTTATCAAATGTAAATTAGTGAGTTACATCCGAGATATGTGATTTAATATTATATAAGGTGTAATATAATTATGAATACCTGTATATTTTATAGGTGTCTACATATTCGCTCGATTTTATGACGATCAACAAGTGTCGATCTACAAAAAATACGATATCGATCGTCTGCTTCTTGATTACACATTTATTCGATTTTGTGTGATCACACCGTTGATCGACAAAAAATACGATGTCCATTGTCTCTTGCTTACAAATTTACTCGCTTTATTTGATCACACGTGTCGATCTAAAAATGAGAAAATCTGTAGGCACCTTAAGATGACTGTATTTCGTCATGAACTACGAAGCAAAGATTCTTTGATATACTTTTGGGCATCCGGACCGGTTTGTCGTTTTCGACTGGGCAATTTAAAACAATGTAATTCTATTATAGACCATTATATTATTTATTTTTACTTTAATTAAAATTAAATATTAACACTGTGTGGTGAACAACGCTTGTTAAATAAAGATAACGGGTAGCTTGTATAATAAAAATGTATTGCATTGCGTTGTTGTCCATTGACTTCAATCATCATCGTAATTAAAACCATTTGATTGATCACTTTAATGCTTTTAGGCATACAAATGTCCTTTTTAACTTACCAACTATCTCAACAACGAGATCGAGCACAACCATGAGCGCGAAGCCAAGGAATGAGCAGAAAAACTGCAAGAAGCCGGTGCGGTCCTGACGCCACACCTCGTAGAATACTACGTACACTAGCGTACCGCTCGCTAAACCCTGAAAACAAATATGGAATTAATACTAACAATTATATTTTAGGAGCGATCCATATGTTTCAGATAATGTATAGTTATGTAACAATAGATTCAGGCGAATGATCTCTTGCGAAAATCTAGGTAATAAAAATGGAAGTAAATTAATTTGCTGCTCCGCGATATCAGTGGAGGTTAACCCAAGAAAACAGCTGCGTTTGAAAATTTCCGTTAGTGCGGGTGTTTTCAATTTTAACGATGGATGGTAATAATGGAGGTAGTGGGGTATAAACCCCATATAATAACCAAGGCCCTGATTTTAATATGACCAACCATTACGAGCGAGATCATTTTTCACCCCATAAGAGCCGGAATCCCGCAAGGCTCTCTCCTCTCGCCCATCTTTTTCTCCTTGTACACTAGCGATATTCCGATGTATCAGTCTGTAAATCTCGCCCTCTTTGCTGACGACACTGCGCTCTATTATTCGGTGCGCAACTCTAAGGTAGCTCCCATGGCTCTCAAATCTGCCACCACACGACTAGTGTTGTAAGTAGTTTCGCAGATGGAGAATCAAAGTCAATCCCGACAAAAGTGCGGCGGTATTCTTCAACACGCTCACATATCTAGGAGTTACGCGCTCGATAGGAACCTGTCACTCAATGAACACATGAACACCATCCGCGAACGCGACCGATTTGTTATGAGCCGCCTCTACCCCCTTCTCAATAAGCGTAGCAAGCTCTTCCTTTGATTGTACACCGCTTGCACCCTGACCCTGCCCAATCATGACCTACGCTAGCGTCTTATTCGCGCAGGCGAATCCCGCCCTCATCCACTGTCTATAGGCTATTCAGACTAGATTTATGCGCAATGCGACGGGTGTCCCGTGGTATCAGCGCAACGAAAACTCCACATCTTACGGCTTCCTCCTGTAGCATAATTCATGAAACAGGCGTCGAAAGCATACTTCAACTTTGCTCCTCACCACCCCAATCCCTCGTGGTGGCTGTTTCCAATTCCGTCCCCCTCAAGGAACATCCCCACCGAGTTCGTAGGACCCGTCGGCAAAGGGAAGTCCTCAGCGACCCTGACGACCCTATCATTCTAGCCACTTTGAAGGCCAACCAAGGCCCTGATTTTAATTCAAACCGGAATCGACCCGATCGGGTAGCCCGTCCGAAATATTATATGCCTCGACTCGGAAAAGACGCAGTTTCCGATCGGGAGAGGCAATCAAAATCTGGCCTCAGATCGCTAATCAGTCCAACCCCTCGCGTGACAACCGTCCTCGTCGGCGAAGTCGTGGAGCCGCCCACTTCAGCACGTACAGTAGGTAGAATTCTCTCCTAAAGCACGCCCTTCTGGCGGATATCCCCAGTAGCGCCCTGAGCCAAGGTTTGTGCCCGCTTGGGTGCCCTCAGACCCGCTACTTAGTTGTAAGTTTAGTTTTAGTGTATTTTTAGCCTGACCCCAGCTCACACTTTTATCCGGTGGCGCAGTCAAGGCCACCAGCGGCCAACTGCAAAGGGTTCTTCAGAGATCAAATTATTCTTAGGCCGAGAGGCGAAACACGTGTCGGGAATATTTTTGGTGGTATTCTCTGTGACTATAGTTGCTCTTGTGTTATTTATTTTATTAATTTTATGCGGAGAGACGGTGGGAAAATTAATTGCATGAAAAAAATAATCAACACTAGCGCAGCTGCTATTTTGCACGTATTCATTTCCACTGGGTTCACATAGTAGCAAATTAATTTACTTCCATTTTTATTACATAGTTATGGATGCAAAGTTATGGAGGCATTTATAAGTGTAATTAACCAAATACCTTGCTCTTTCTGATCAGAGGAATTTATTTCCCGCATTTATACTTTATGAAATGAAAAAGATTTTGCACTGAGTTCAAATAAACTTCTAGGATACCAACTAGTGCACGGACCGCGTTTGCGTAGTAGTTATGCAGTCTGCTATAAATGTGTTTTATAGCTATTGCAATGTATCATAACGATCCTTTTGATTTACGCGCCAAATGAATATTATAATAACAATAAAAATCATCATCCCGTCCTCTAAGGAATATTTTATCACCTGTAAAATAACGGAGAAGAGTCCAGAGGCGGCACCCGCGCCACCGACCAGTAAAATGCCAACGCCAATACCCAATGCGGACATGAAGGAAAAGGTAAAGATGTAAACTATCGACAGCCAGCGCTTCGTGTTCGCTGTCAGCAGTTCTACGCCAATGCAGAACGCGATTATGTACTTGTGCGCTGACACTGCGCCGAACATGTACCTGAAAGGGACGTTACAAATTTAAAAAGTGACATTAAGTAGTGAACGTGTTTATTAATAGGTTTGAACAAGAGTCACTCAAATTCAGAATTATTCAGCAATTCATTTCTATCGAGTTCTTAGGTTTTCGCGATTGTTACACATAGGAAATGAAACTATTTTTCCGGATGTAAATTGCGTATATTTGTTTTTCAAACAAACAAGGTTTGTTTGAAAAAACAATTTAAGAAACGGCGGCGGCGATTGAAATCCGGAAAAATAAATTCATTTCCTAAATTCATTTCTATTTCATATCATCGGGGATAGTGTAAAGCCGTGTATGTAGCATTGGTAAAAAGGCTCATATCTACACAACCAATTTTTTCAAAAGAGCGGTATTGTTGTCCGATTTCTGGCTTTCTATTGGTCAGTCGCAATTGGAGTTAAGAAGACGGGTCCCAAACAAGTAACTACGTGCACTGCATGCAAAATTGAAATTGGCTACATGTGTCAGATACGCGGAATTATCCAATGCTAGTTACACGTAATTGCACTATCCCCGACAACAACACAACTTACATAATAATGTGATAACCCTACGCTTCTAGCCAAGAATAGGCTTGATGCGCCGAACAGGTGGGAGTTGCCTCATAGTTGCCCGTCATAGTTACTTGTCTCATTTCATTATTCTATGGTACAACTGTTTAATTTTTCTTAATATCTCTCGGCAATCTTCGTATTTCTGCTGTCGTCAGATTTCTATCAATTACCCTATGCACGGTGGACCGGACGCATTCAATCGACTGGGAAGTATATTGTTAAGGAGTAAATAGGGATAGGGAAATAGTTTACAACTCTATACAGTTTATATTGAAATCAGAACAAAACATCTATAACGTAATTATGAATGTAAATTATTATTAGATATATCGATAAACCTAATAATTACTAGACATGTGCCGTTTTGTATTCGGGTGCATTCAGAAATCTGAGGATTGCCGAGAAACATTTAATCATGTCGTCGTTATACTGCTAAACCAAACTATAGGCAAAAGGGACTTGTCACCTCCATATCTCAGGGTGACTGGCCCTTTTTTTTTGTTTTTTGACGGGGGGGAAAGCGTTATGTGCGACTCTCCCTCCAGACTGGAGGGAGAGTCGCACTCCTATCCCACTAAAACCCCCCCGGGTTTCCCTCTCGCCGGTTGAGTCGGCGCCGTGGGATCGGTGAAAATTCACCACGACGCCGCCGCCGCCCGGAGGGTGAGTGGCCCTGTGGCAATGCCCTTTGGGCCTTTGCGATTGAAAGCTGAGTTGCATTGCAAGTGTCATAGATAGGCATCTCGTTTTATTACCGTCCAAAAAAAAAACAATTATACGGAATTTTTACAGAAACTGACTTAACTATAGGAAAAGGCATAATTTTTCGCCGTCAATTTTTTACATAGGTACCTAGTTTCGATAAAACATAAAATGTGGAATCAATCGTTACAAATTGACGTGTCTGGCGAGTGTACATAATTGTAAGAAATATCCATTGTTGGGATTTCAATTAAGTTATATTTCAATTTTTTTTTTCTAATATAATAGCTTTTCCAAGTTAAACTGCTACATGGCATTTTAAGCCTCAAGTAATCGCATTATTTATTATGGCGATTACTTATTATTATTCGTTATCTCTGCATATGAATTACATTGCCAACTATCAACTTTTTATTTAGGATTTTTTTATGTACGAAATAAAAACCTTCCTAATTTAGCATATCGGCGTAAAGTTGCCTTTCGGTCGATTTTCTGTAGATTATGCCTCAGCAACCATGAGCTCCATCAGCTCATTCCACCTTTAGCCATCGAACATCCAGACATGCGGCGGGATAACTTCCATACTTGGTTGATATTTTTTTCAGCTTTCAGGCGCAATACACATACAATTAGTATGTTAACCCATCATATTTTGATCCATCGTAGACCCTACCTGTGCTTAGTTGAATACCTAATGAATGCCATCTATCACGGAGAGTGCGATGGAATTGCACGACTTAATTCCGCCTTAACTTTTCCATCAGCGGGGGACTAGACGTAAGCTGGGGTTCCACCGCTACTGTATCTATTAAGTAATCTGTGCCCATACGTTATGAATAGTCCAAAGAATCGCACGAAGCGTTACGCTTCCATGTTTATATGGCGAACGGCTACCTTTAACAGACATATTTCCTGAACGCTATAATTTGCGCCTTTTCAAAGCGAGAGCGTATATATATTATTTAGGTGATCATGCTCCATCGTCGCAATCCATCAGTTGATTTGCAGGTCAAATGTGCACTTATTTTATCATAAAAAATACTTTAAAAATACTTTATTTACACTGTTAAAAAGTTGGATCGAATAATGTACGCACATAGAACAAACATAAAATAATTATTATATAAATAAATACGTGTTGTATTTTTTAAATACACATGTTTACTAAATTTTTTGAATTTCCTTTTTGAATTTTTTAATATATAAATTATTAAAAAATTGAAATATATTATTATATATATTCAAGGATATCCTTGAATATATATAATAATATATTACGCGGGCGAGGTTGGCTTGAATTTGGTCTACCAATTAATATTAATTGGCCAACCTCGCCCGCGTGACTGGGACGCTCATTTGAGTTAAAACGTAAATGCTTAATAAATAGAGCGTATTTTGCCACGACAGACACACGCGGTTGTTGCGCGACGGTAACGCGAACTCCGCTCGGCGACCGCGCGGCGGGGTGAGCTCGATGAAATTCATGTCGAATAAAAGCGCCCTAAGAGTTTTATCCTGTCATGTTATATCACATAACCTAATTTTATTTACTGACTGTGCTATTTGCCGAGAGGGGCAGCCCAGAGTGCCATAGCACAGGCTACAAATTTTCTAGTATGATCCCTGTGACACTTCATTTGATGTTTTCACAGGGATGAGGTAAAGTCGATAGATTTTTTTTGCAAAGGTTCTCTCTTATACAGCCTTGCATAATATTACGGATTTAAAAAAACATAACAATTGAGTTTTTAAAATAAAGGACTCCCATGATTTGTGTATAAGTAATATTTATTTTATTTCTGATATCCGATCCGTTATTTCTATGGAATAGGTACAGGTACCGGAGAAGAAATAAATTAAATGTAAACGCAGTCTTTGTTTATGATACAATAACAATCAGCAACCAAATTAGCATGATTTACAGGGACTCTACAGTCCGTAGACAACATGAATTAGTGCTTTCTGTACAAAAATGAAAGTCGTAGCCATTGAAATAACAAATTAATAACGTTAAGTCCGTCTTCTGTGAAATTTGGTTTGGTGCAGATACGTGCCTTTTACCAATACTACAGACGTGAATTTGCACTATCCACGACATTATACATTTATTCAATAAATTACCGAAAACTTTTTATCTTTATACCTCATCTCTAGCAAATGCAGTCTAATGAAGTAACTTTTGTACGTTGTCGTAAATTTAAATTCATTTTTGAAAAAAAAAATGTTTCTTTCTCTGGGCATTTGTCACTAATTTGGTGTTACTTTTACTTTAATTTTATGTATTTGCTTAAACAAAGGATTCACTTAAAAGCGAGACTTATAAAAATAGTTGAGACTTATAAAAACACGCATTTTATATACGTAAATTAGTAGACTTCGTTACAAGGTTATATTATGAAGAATTTTGTGAAGTGTCACAGGGATCGTCCTAGAAAATTTGTAGTATAGCACTAGTTTGGGCTCCTGTCTACCGTATCTAAGCTCTAAGTTCAATCATGTACTTATTTTGTATTTTATATTTTGTACTTGTTGAAAGGTAAATAAATGATGATGTTTTTTAATTACTATTATTATTATTATCTGTGCAGAATATAAGTTTTATCTTGTTTTATCTATACTACCTATATCTAATTCATGCGCACCTGACGCTACGACTATGCAACAAGAGCAAATTTTGACCCGCCTAAATCTCATAACACGATTGGTAATAGTGAAAGTATACGGACATGGCGTAAGTACCTGCACATTACACAACCTGTTCCAATCTCGCATTTAAATAAATGATCGGCCAATTTTTTATTGTTACTGAGTTCGTACAAAATCATCACGCAAATTATAGTCAGAATAAACTGAACAGTAATACTGGGGAACAATCATGCTGTTATTCATACGAGCGTGACATTTCCGTCCGCTTGACGCACCGTATAGTGAACCTTGTTGGTTCACCTTCTGATTCACCTTCAACCCAAGAGACAAAGCACACTGTCTCCTGTTCTATAAATAATGCTTTATAAAAGGAATATAAAAACATCACTTAGTAGAAAAATCTAATACAAAAATAGGCGTACCTACCATTTTATTTCTCAACAAACTGTATAAAATATGAGATGTATTTTTTGGGGTCCCACTACAGCTGAGGTCTCATCTCAGGCGAGGGTTTAGGGCATAGTCCGCTATGCCCAATGTAGGTTGGGGAATTCTTACGTATTTCGAGGGTTTTGAACCTTCTTCGTCGTACAAGTTTCATCGCGATGTTTTCCATCACCGAAAAGCTCATAGCAAATTTCAAATTAAATTTCGCATATAAATTCCGAAAACTCAGAAATGTTGTCCCGGATTCGAACCCACGGTTACCACGGCTTTTTTATTGTTTTTGTATTGTATTTATTTCAAAAATTTGGGTTACAGTACATTTAGACCCACATACAGTAAGGTAAAAGTTTTACAAGATATGATCCCAGACTCTCAAAATAGGGTAACCTGTGACATGAGAGCCTGTGTTTCACCGAGGCTTAAATAACAACCTCACACTAAAACAGGACACCAATAATAATTTTACATTTTTTTACGAACCTAAGTGACGGGACGAACAAGTCGTTCGCCTGATGATTAGCGACACGGCTGTCCATAACAGTTGCATTGCCACTCAGAGCTTTAAATCACAAAGATCTGACGGGCACTGCCACGGGTGTACGTCTCGCTGAGACATAAGTTGACAAG